AGACAAATAATATATTGAAAACTGGTGGTAATGCAGCATTTTGCGATTTTATAAAACGTACTTACGTATTAACGGAACCACCTTGGATCAGTTTAGCAACGAACGGAAAGGTTAAATTTATTTATCGGCTGCAAGTTGGCGTTTCTCGCGAATTTCTTTTAAAAGATTCTGAAATTATCGATGTTAATCGTAAATTAACATACATTATCAACATATGAAAAGCCAATATACTTTAGCAATTTAAAATACAAACTTTATTTGTTAAATAAAGAATGCGTGATACATTAAAAAATAAAATAGTTACATTCTTCTCCAAATTATTCTGTAATACTTTTTTTGCTATTCTTTTCTCTAAGTACACAGCGATCTCGGCTACACCGGCTGTGTATTAGACGCATCTCCTTATTAGTTCCTTTAGAGATTTTGGGAGAAAATTCTATATATCTGTAGAATTTTTTTTTTTTTTTTTCCCCTGAAGAAATTTAAAATTTCTTTCATTGCTGGCAAATTCCCAAAATACGCATTTTAAAATTAAATTTAAGGCAAAAAATATCATGATTTGTTTATAAAAACGATTGGAATTTGGAAGACATCATAAAGAACGCATACGAAAATGATGACGTAGCATGACTGAAGGATTATGATGAGCATGGTTGCCTGAAGAATGGTTATGCTCACGTTTGCGAGAGTTTGGCACATTCTGAAAGTTTGGCGACTTCTACTAAGGTGCTTGTGATAAATCGTAAGTACTTTATCAAATTTTAAAATGCTCATACTAAACGAACAGGCGTATGCAGAATCTTAATTTGCAAGTATCTGTCAATTATTGTGTTTCTCTTCCCTCCTATATTTATTACTTTTCATAAACAAAATATTTGCTTTGTCACTTTTACTAAAATTTAAGGAAGGATAAATAAATGCTAGTTTTTCTCAGTATGAATAAGGGAGAAGAATTACAAACTATTATTCTCGTTTAGAAATACACAACACTGAAATTAGTGGCTAAATCAATGTATATATACGATGGAAATATATAAAAACACTCACATTTCAGAATGCAGGGCTGTTATGAGACTCAAAAAAATTTCAAAATGTTACCAAACTTTTGTCAGAAAATTTACTTTTGACAAACAAGAAACTTCATATTTAAGAGTGTTTTGGATAATCTACAGCAGATAGTTTTATATGACATCCGTCTTTTTGAATGTGTGTAATGAATTTTCTTAATAATTCTGAAATTTAAGCTAGGAAAACTTCCTTGTTAAAAGAAACAATGATTTTAATTAAAATTTTTCCCCCCGAAAATTTTCGAAGATTGCATTCAAATAACTGACGTTTCAAATAATCAACGTTCTATTGCGTAACATGTAATTGAAATTTTACATTAAAAAAATTTTTTTAATAAAATTGAATATATGTTCATTTTTATTTTCAGCGTACAAAACAAAATAATAATTACCACATTTAATATAAGTTATTAAAATTATACGAGAATTATTAAGGCATTAGTTATTAATTTTTCAGCTACACTCTGAGAGCTTTATTTCAAGATGGGTGGTGGCTGCATTTTGTGACTTTTCAGTCAATCAATAAACAGTTGGCCAATGCAGGTTGGTACAAAGTGGCGTAATATAAAATTTCAAAATGCATGTACACAAAAGAAATAAGGTACAAATTTTCAGAAATTTCAGAATTTTTAACGTTTGATTCCTAAACATACTTGATGCACAGTAAAGCTCAATTTCGTAGTGGAAAGCCTCTTGTTGAATGTATTTTATGTATTTGAATCTTTTGTCTTTATTTTTTTTTTCAAATAACTTTCTGTAGAGCCATAAATAATAATAAAAATTAATACGATTTTGAACTGTTAAAAGGTGCCCTTTTCTTGGTGGCATCCGGCGACAGAGCAGAGCTTGCAGGCCCGCTTCCACTTGCTCTACCTTTAAGACAAAGAATCTACTTTTGAAAAATGAGAACGTACATGTATGATGATGATGCCCATTTTACTAAGATTCACATTAGGAGAAGTCTGTATGTGTCTAATTTATTGGGTTCTAAGTAACCATCGCTCTTCATTTCAATCTCATTCGAATTATTATTTAATTTCTAGTCTTCCGTAATTCTATCTGAATTGAAGTTAGGCCCACCAGTGCGGGCCTTAAGATAGATGAATACTAGAAGTTCGACTCGGTTCGAATTCAGGCGAACGGACTAGCTGCATGGTTGGCTTCCGTGTTTTCTTCAAACGTGGATATGAGTCAATTTCCCTTTCAAAGTCCTCCACAAAGGCATCCTTCTCCTTAAACAGATAGCTGTAGTGGGCTTTGTCATATTCAAATAATTAACCAATAAACAATCTGAAATAAGGGCTTCCAAATGAGCTTTAAGACTTTATCCTGAATTATTTTCTGCGAATGGGCGGTTGAAGGCAAAAATTATTGTTCCAGTAATAACAGATAACACAATCAAAATTGAACGATACACTAAAGAGAATTTAATAATATAAATTTCAACGGCTAAACAAAAAATAAAGCAGTTTTATTTATTTTAAGGAAATGCGCCCAGTTTATTAAAACTTAAAGCATCCTGAAGACAAGTACTTTTATACATCGCAAAATTTCCATTATGAGCTTTTAAGATATACGTTACTTTAAAAATTTATTTTCATTTAAATTATATAATATAATAGGGGAATGGGAAAGTAATGTCGTTTCTGCGCATGTCGACAACAACATGCTAAGGGAAGAAGTGGAAGCAAATCCATGTCAAACTGTCGAGGAACTGTCAAACACTCTTAACCAACTTTGGTCGACCATCCAAGAACATTTAAAGCAGAAAGGAAAAATAAGCAAAGCAGGTGTTTGAGTCCCCCATAATCTGTTCGAAAAGAATAAAGCCAATCTATCCATCACATGCAACATATAGCTTCAACGGCGCCATACAGAACCGTTGATTGATCGTTTGATTAGTGGAATCAAAAAAAATAAGTCCTATTTGATAATCCAAAACTCAAAAGGCAGTTTTAATAGGGGTTACAAAAAATTTACATCCCGAAAAGTCGCTTCTGGGTGTTTGGTGGAGTATTCGCGGAATTGTTCATTTTGAATTGCTGAAACCTGGAAAAACTGTTAATATAGATCTTTATTGTGGACAATTGGATCTAGTGAACCAATCTTTAATCGAAAAATATCCAGCGATTGCCAACGGAAAAGGCGTCATTCTGCAACACAACAATGCAAGACCGCACTGTGCAAGACGAACACTGGAAAAATATAATGAATTGGGGTGTGAGGTACTGCCTCACCCACCATATTCGCCCGATATCGCACCCTCGGATTTCCATTTATTACGATCCCTACAACATTTTCTTAGTGACAAAAAATTTGAAAATTTGGATGATGTCCAAAATGCCATCTCGAGATATTTTACTCAAAAACCAATTGATTTTTTATCGGTCTGGGATTGATTGAAATATGCATACTAGATGGCAAAAGGTTGCTGATAACGAGGGTGATTATATTATTGATTATTAAAAATAAAACTTGTTACAAATTTATTCGTTTGAATTTAACTTAAAAAAAAAGCGACATTACTTTCCGGGTCCCCCTATCATTAATGCGATTTAAAATTTAAAATGAAATTAATTATTATGCGGGTAAAAAAAGTAAAAAATTCGAGATTTTTTTTTTCTTTTCTTAGAATGGTTTCAATTTGTAAAATAATCTTAAATTATTTATTTCAACCAGAAAATATTAGAAAATAACAGAAATTTATTCAAGTAAAATTGCTTTAGAGTTTTGTATTTTCAATGCAAACGAAACACGAATTTTACATTCGATCTGTTACAAAGAATTTGATTACCCTCCCCCCTTTTTCCCCCATGAATAGAATCATTTTTCAAATTTAGGAAAAGATGATGAAGATCGATGAAAACGGATTCTTCTTCTTTGAAAATCTTCTTGTTTATTTTATTTGTTAGACTTGTTTACATGCATTTGTTCATTCTTCTAATGGCACAAAATATTTGGTAATTCTAACATTTCAGTAGTTATATTAATGCCTTCTGACTACACATAAATCATTGCAATCTTATTTTCGTTGTGAATTCTTGAGACTTTAGTTAAAAATATAAAAATGAATCCAAATTACACTAAGAGAGTGAACTTCATTTCTAAAAAATACTAAAATAAAAGTTGTTTAAAAGTAATTTAAAGTTAAATTTCAAATTTTAGAGGCTGAAATGAAAATTTGAAATAATTTATATGGATATGAGTTTTGTGGTGAAGAGGACAGCGTTGCATTCCATGGCATTTAGAATGCTGTTGAAGAATGAAGTTACATCGCAAAGTGTCATGAGATCAGATCAGAATTAACCGAGCAAAGTCTTTAAAAAATGCCTACAACTTGTTTAATGTGAAAGTAACTATTGTTATTAAAGTTTGCTCTTACTCTTTTTAAAAAGAGTAATACTCAACTTCTTAATACTCAACTTCTTAATTCTGTTGATTAAGAAGTTGAGTTAAGAGTCCGACAGTAATACGCAGGTATGTCTATTAGCTACAAGAAAGATTTAGAAGGCTACCTGCGTAAAAAGAAATGCTTTTCAGAAAGCCTTGCTAAATTAACTGGTTAGTGTTTACGTTACGCTCGTGAAACGTGTAAAGGAACAAAACCAGTCAATCTATTCTACCAGCGGGAATCCATCATGGAAAACAAAATTTTTCTGGGGCTTTATTTTCTTTGGTCCCTCTGAGTTCCGTTCTTAACTGTTGAACTGGCTAGCAGTATGAGAAATCTTCACGAGTTTCCTTGCGTACTTTCCCTTCTTCGAGCATGAATCCAGCATAGCAATTAAACAAGAAGGCTACAGATGTAAGTAACTTTTTAAGAATACTGTTTTTAGAATTTTAATTAAAAAAAATGTTTAAATGTTTTTTAAAAAATGTTTCTTTAATAGTTTTGAGCTTGCAATTAGTTTTTAATTTATCTTTACTTTTCAGATTTATTTGGAAAACATGTTTGAGAAAGAACTTATGCCTCTGAAAGATTAAGTGTTGACCACTGTGTATTGCAATCTTACTCGAACACAAGATAATCCAAGACAACCAGATATCCAGATAAACCTTTGTGCCAGAAGAAAAGTAGAAGAAACGAGTCATTTCGAGAATAAAGTGTGTATTTGCGAAATGCTTATATTTTTATGAACTGTTACCCCCAAATTGTTTTTATGTGTGTTACTTGACTACCAAATGACTTATTATTTTTTTTTTTCTTTCAGCGCGAAAAACGAGTTTTTGGTAGCGAACTCAAATGTGTAGTAACATTTTTGTTGGACCCATATTCACAAGGCAAAAGTTTCTATCCGTATCCGAAAGTATGTTAAATGTAGTAAATCATATTACTTGACAAGACAAAGTGTGAATTTTGAACCTTGGTGTTTAAATATCCTCCCTACTAACATGACCGTGGATAAAAACAACCTGCTTACACTCAATCTAGAACTGCCAGAGAACTTTTTTGTCATGTATAATGATTCCCACCTCCCTTTCAAACAACTCTTTTCTCAAGAAGATGCAAAAATTAGCCTCAGCATTACGACTTTGCAGTGGAAAGAACTGATGACAAACTTTAGCCTTATCAGCGACATTGTCACACCTTCGTTTATCAAAATATGAATATTTACGAAGCATACGAAAGCGTATCTGACTAAACTATTGACAAGGAAAATCTTCCAGAATCTTAGGAAATTTCTACGGGAAGCGCAGGCCTCGAAACCATTCTGAAGACATTGCCTGAAGAGATTATAAAGTCTGGCCTTCTTAAGTAGCTTAAAATTAGACCAGAACTGTAAAAGACAAAGCCCTTTATTTAATCCAAATAAAGTTTAACAGTCGGTACCAACTCGTGCATATACAAGCTAATAGCTTTCGCTTAAATCATAGGCAATGGATGAACTAAAACTAATGAAATTAGTATAGCCTAACTGCTTCACAGTATAACTAGTGCGTAAGCTGCCTCTGATCGAAGTCGGCGTTAACAAGCCTAATGCAAAAATGACTCAACGCCGCAGAAACTAATCGAGAGAATCAAATTTATCAGCGTGCCTTTCAAGTAGGCAGAACACGCTTTATTTCACTTTTTAAAAGTTTCCTTTAAATACTCTCTACTTTCTATCTCATTTGAATATCGCGCAAGCTAGAAATTTACATTCCGGTAGAGAAATAGTAACAAGACTGCTAGAAGAGGATGTTAACATAAAATAGCGGTTTAGACACTTAAATGATACTTTACAACATTCACCAACAAGGGGATAGGAAACATCCTGAGCTAATACATTGTGAAGAACCCGTTGTTCGTAAAAAAGAAATTGTGAATTCCCTTGCGTGAGATTAAATTCTGTTGACATAGCCAGATAATTATAATTTTATGGAAATTTATCTGGGCCGAAGAACCCTATTAATTTTTACTTAAACCTGCTCACTTCGTTGCCAAGGACATTTTAAAATCTATGCGTTTAAATCATATGTTAAGCGAAGTAAGAGATACTTTTTGTCCTACGAACTTAGAACAATATGGTGTCTTTGGTACTGAAGACTATGAATATTTGTAAATATGGTATAATGTTCAATAAAATGTAATTTTCTTTTACAATGATCTCGTGACTATCTCTTTGTCAGGTTGACACATAAAATTATATATATAATGAAAGTGCGAAGAAAAAACTTGTGAGAAAAGGTTGTAAAAATGTTGTTTAATGTAAAAAAAAAAAAAAAATTCAGGTTTCTAACTATAAATCCAATTCTCAAGCAGTTACATAAAATTTTAAAAACATATTTATTTGTTCATTATTATTTATTTAGCCCGAACTTACTGATTTAGAGAATATAAATTCTGTTGTTGTTCTTAAAATGTATCATTACTTGCTTAACCTTTGAAATATTATGTAGCAGTAATTTTCCCTTTATACCTGTTTTTATCATTCGTGTGTTAGATACATTTCTATAATCTTTGTATAAACTCTGGTATTTTTCCTCTTTTATTGTGAAACATACATAAATGAATAATATGCATATGTTTATGTAAATGAATGTTTATGTACATACAAGACCTATTACCTATTACTTTTGCAGTTGGCGCAGCTTTGTCTCAGACATACCGGAATACTCAGGTCCCCCTCCCCGAGTGTCGGAGGTATTGCTGCTTTGCATCGTGCTTTAAAACAAACAAAAGAAATCCAAAAATAAATAAGGCTCCTTACACGCCTTTGAGGCACAAAATTGTCAGAAACAGTGTAATTGTAGAATGCTTAAACGAAAGATTTCAGTCTTCAGTCTTCACTGAATGAACTTCAGTCAGGAATTTACAACCCCTGGTTTCTTTTCTGAAGGTTACAAATATTTACTGACCTGTATAGATATCCTTTCCAAATACGCATGGGTTGTCCTTCTCAACGATAAAACATTTGCCTCCATCGGATTGGATCTGCTTTTGAAAAGATATTTTCGGAATGTCCACCTGAATCTTTACGAGCGCATGCATGGAAAGAATTTGCCAATAAACAATTTGAAGGTATTTTGAGAACGAAAAATGTTCACTTTTTCACGATACATAATTCAAACAAAGCTTCTTTTATGGAAGGATTTAATTAATTTCTTTAAACTAAAATGTGAAAATACTTTACTGAAATGAATACACGAAGGTATATTGATATTTTAGATTAATTAGTATCTAGTTATAACAATACATTGCATCGAATTATCAAGACAGAACCCGCATCGGTTTTACAACATCAAGAAAAAATTTGCGAAACGTTATATGGTCCGTACTCATTACAAAAACCTATTCCTTGAGATTTAAACATTGGAGATAAGGTACACATCAGCCGAAAAATATTCTCTTTGAGAAAGGATGCGAACAAAATTGGACAAGAGGAATTTTAACAATCTATAAAATTAGTCAGCGGATTCTTGTAGTGTGCAAACTGAAACATCTAACAGGAGAAGTTATACAAAGCACCATTTGCAAAAAAAAAAAAAAAGAACTTCAAAGGGTTTCGGACTCTGGTTATTATCCAATAGACAAATTTTAAAAAATTGGAAATGTCGCGGAGAAGTAGAATATTTTGTGAAATTTCAGGGGTACCCCGAAAGCTTTAATGCTTGCTGTGGTAGAAGCTTAAAACGACATAAAAGGCCCTTGCATTCTATTTGCAACTCATTTGAACGAAAAATGTCTTTCTTTGGCACACTTACCAATGATAACTCCGTGCACTTTCCCCCAAACAGCAAAATATCGCAATTTACCACTCAGCTTCCTACTCCGATTGATTTAAATAATCAGTGGAAATTATCTCTTGTGGACTTTAATTACCTTCGCACATGGTATAAAGTGAGAAATTACAATAATTTAATAGGATTTGATTTGAATGATGAAAAATTGGAAGGTAGAAAGAGATTCTTCAGGATGTTATGAAACGATACCTGATTATTAAAAGCCGTGAAAATAACCTCACATAAAAGTAAAATTGTATTCAATTTTCCTCCTGTCACAAAAAAGTGACCATTAAGACACACGTAAACTCCAGAGTTCATGAAGGATTAGTTGAGCTTCTAGGATTCGATTTTTACAAAGAAATGGAACAAGGTCCTTTTCTAGCCCATCCAAAGTATCATTTCCTGTCATGCATGTGTATTATTATCTCGTAGAGCCTCAAACTATGGGAGATGTGCAAGCTCCGTTGCTAAAAATTGTCATCATAGAATGAAATGCCGGGAACATCCATAAACTCTCATTAACTCAGACCATTTGACTTGCCAGTCATCCGTCAGCACTTTAAGACTATACATCCTGACATAAGACTTCACTCTGAACATATAGTTTTATCCGCAGTATGCAAAGTTTTTCTTCTGTTGCATTTTCGCCTGAGACAAATTTAAAAAAAGAAGTGTCCATTTGAAAATCGGTTTCATTTGGACTATGTATGCAAGATTAGGAGCATCAAACGGGTGCCTTATAAGTGTTTCTAGAAAAGAATTGAAGGTTGTTATGTAGCTCAAACTAAAAATAGTCTACCTTACTATCAAGAAACCATTTTACAGAAAAGTATGGCATTGGTGGAATTTTTGCAAACTTATTTTGCAGCGCTACCGTGTTTGACGAGTGGAGCAAAAACAGTCGGAAAAAAAGCTTTACGGACTGGAACACAGAGTTTAAAAGATGTATTGTAAGGTAAAAATTTTAAAGTATCCCTCAAAAGTAGATCTAAAGAAGCTGGGAAAAAATTAGCAAGGAAAGCAATTCAGAAAGCAGACGAAATCGTCTAAAGCCAGAAAGGTGCAATAACATATCTTTGGCTCGTAATGAGTTTCCTGTTAAAAGATTCACTAAAATGCGAAAAATTGGGACTGGATTTGTTTTCGCTATCTCCTGCACAAACAGTTATAGGAAGAGGTCAGTGGGTTGATGTTTCATGCATTAGCCAATGTAATTTAGTTTAAACATCACGCTGAATAACAATAAAAAACAAAGTCCAACATTAAGAATCAGCGTAAACTTTTAAAAATCTAAAAATTTACGCTGATTTTTAATGTTGGACTTTGTTTTTGATTAGCCAATGTGTCGGAAAAACGTCCTGCAGAATTCAGTGTTTCTAGAAGCGATATGAATACTTTGATTTATCACAGACAGAACTATATGTCACAATGAAAATTTTAAAAAGTGATGGCAAGTCGTGAACGGTGACAGATCAAAGTAAAGTGGGACCTGTCGATCTGTCAATCTGTTTTTACTTTCTATGTTTTCTCAAGTGGATATCAGCTTAAATGAAAGACTTACTTCCACCAGTAATAACACTTATCCCTAAAAGCAATGATAGAAAAGTTACTGAACCAATGGTTTGGATACAAAAACGCATCGCTTTTATCAGAATTTTTTAAAAAAAATATAGCAAGAATGTTTTTGATATTGAAGATATGCAAACTAATAAAGGATTCAACCAACGAGCAGAAACGCTTACACTGAATGTCTCGGCCGGTATGATTGGCCAGTTTCACTTGGATGTGTTTCGTCAAGAAAGATGTCTGTTAAATATGGTGGATATGAAAATTAAACTCATACGCAGCAAACTTAATTTTGTTCACTGACGGATGGTGATTCCAAAGTTTTACACGAATATGCTTATTTGTTTGTAAGAAAAGGGTATGCTTATTTGGTTGTAAGAAAAGAGTCAGCATTGCTATTGTTCTAGAACAAGCAAAAAATTCAACAGCCAAATATCTTCACACCGCTCTTGATCCACGCCTGTCATATTCATCAAGGTCATTGTTACTTAGCGGTAAATATTAGAGAAAAGAATTCATTCACTTCAGTGAGCAAACGATTCCTATCTGATCCCTTAAAAGAGCGGTTTTGCCCTCTCTACTGGTGATAAATTATCATCCACTACCTTTTAGATCGGGCGCCACTTGTAGAGTCCATTTCCTTTTTTTTTTTTTTTTTTTTTTTTTTTTTTTTTTGAAGAGCAAGGAAATTGAAGAAATCTGCAGTGTACTCGGCAGGATTTGAACTACGGACCTTCCAATAATGCATCTGACGTGCTTCCAGCTACACCAAGAAAGTCCTTGTCGGAAAAGAGGGAGAAAATACCTAATAAACATTATTAATAATACTGGAAAACAGTCGTAATTAAATAAATCATACAAATTATAACACTCTATTTTATCTTACCTTTTCGTATTATGTTCCTTGTGCTGTGATGTAAAAAAGGCAGTATATTAGTATGCTTATTAGCCCTGAAATATCTTTTTTGTGCCGCCGGCACACATAACCATCGCAAAATCTACTAAATGTTTCCTCGAAGACAAGTCCGTTTCAAAGTAAAAACATATGAGCTTTTCATCTAATTTCCTTGGGGCAACGCTTCGAAAATAACAATTGTTGTCGACAGCCACGACGAACTGACTGCGAGAAGGACACTTAATGTTCCCTCACTTGTATAGCTCTTTACAATATCTTGCCTCAGAATGGCTTAAAAGCATTCCCTGCGCTGGGGAATGTTCCCTATAATAGGAATTAAACAAAAAAAAAAAAAAAAAAATATTCCCACAAAACTACGTAAACATAACGCTTTCCTAAAATTTACACGTATACGATAAACAACTATTTATATTAATTTAAATTTGCGTTTACTACAAGTTCTCAAAACACCCTATCGCAAAGAGCAAACTCTTGGTTTCCAGTGAGAGCTTTGAACATGCTAAATTTTACTCTTAAAATAAATTCCAAAACCTATCTCTGAGCAATTTAGAAATAAAATTCCAATGTACATTCGATTTTTTACATGTTTCAGTTTTAACATGGAGATAAAAAAGTTACGAAACATGCATAAAATATAAAGTTAGACATCTAAAAATATTTTTCAGTCAGTTAATATTTTAAAATGTTTCTTTATCATGGAAAAACAATTTTAAAACTATTAATTTACCAAAATAAATTTTACAAAGAACGTATTATGGAACCCAACTGTTTTGCAGTATACATTAAATAAACTAACAGAAACACGATTATAATAAGGGCGAATTAAAACCAAGCTAGTTCTAATTTTTAAAACATGCAGCATATAGTCAAAAAAATGCCATTT